TGTGACGTGTTCATCGTTACGGAAATCAGTCAACGGGGTAGCCGGTTTATTTTTGTTCTTTTTCTCCTCCATGGTGGTGTCCCAGGTAGTCATGCATTTTTGTTATTGTTGACCAATAGGAAATCTGCACGTGTCTTATATTTTGAAATTTCTCAGACTCTGTACACTGCACCCATGTTTAATCAAACATGTCTGATATATTTGGTTTTGCAGGCGTTCCACACTCAACACGAGAGCAGAATGCATTTTAACAGAGAAGGCCAGAGCTGCTGTGTCTGTGTGAGAAGTTTCTGCAGCGGCCGATAATTATAGTGAGCTGTAACTGGAGAAAGTTGACCTTGTTTTTAAAGATGTTTTGGGAGTTGTGGAATGTGAGACAGCAGAAGAAGGACGGATGTCTCATGTTCTAGTCTTTTTACAGCAACAACACAAGCTGTACATGCACAACTACACATTGATAATCCAGTTGTTGGAAGTTTGCATGTGCTAAAATATGCTTTATTTCTTCTGCTTATACCTTTTGAATTAATTTCACAAATGCTTTTCCATTAGTCAAACATTAACTGAGCCGATAAGGTTTACTGGTAGTCGACGGACTGTTCATTCGCTCAATGCACTTTATCATGTTAGATAGTATAATGGATGTAGAAGCACATTGTTGGACTCCTATGCGTCACTTTATATGATGTAAAGGTTTGAATCTTCAGTATTTTTTATGTTTTGTTTGCTTTCACTGGTTTGCAGTTCTAGGAATTCATGCTTGATGTTTTAATTGACATCAAGCATGAATTTCAGACTCTAGTGATGCAGTACCCTTTTTTTTTTTGCTCTGACAGCAAAACACTTCCATATGATGGAGCCTTACTGGGCCTTTCCACCGGACGCATCGGTGCCTCCTAACTTCCGTGAAACATTGTGCACAGAAATTATTCGCTACTAGTGTAACATTTTGGAAGTGTTCAGGAATAGACGCGTCTATTTTTTATGCATGCATTATGCTTCCAGACCGCGTCAAACTCCGCAGTTCAGATCAGGCCAGACAGGAAGTCAAACACAAAAGCGGTGTAAAACTTTTAAAATAAAAGTCATGTGCAGATTTCCAGTCAAAAATGTAAATAATTTCCAGTGAAACCTCTACAGCCAAGGTAAACAGAACAGAAAAATAACCCCACAGACCTTTTTGGATACATGCCATTGTCTATCCTTGCTTGTCATCGTGTGAACTTGTGAAATCACACATGGTGTTGTAGTTCTCCTGTGATTTCATGACCTCGCGGGAGCAGCCGTGTGGAACGCTTTAGCTGCTGTTTGGTGTCTGAAATGCTCCCGGTTGGAAGGGAGCTCGCGAGTAAAATGCATTACTACGTTACATGCTGCTTACACATCCAGTGGAAAGGTTGGGTGAAAACTGTGCATTTTATCATAATAGTCATAAACTGTCATTAAACACGTGTCAAGAATACTTTTATTATGCAAACATTTGGCAGTTCTGAACAGGGAGCTGTAGTTCTTAATGAAGAAACCAACTAAACAAGTTCAAACATTTCCCAACCATCAACAAGTCTTTTTTTTTTTATTAAAGGTCACAGGCTCTGATCAAGAAAGAAAAAGATTAAAGCTGTTTTAATACGACAGCTATTTTCTTCGATCTCTGCTGGTCTCCGTCTAGCCGTTTGCTCATCAATATCGTAGGATGTCATCATTTAATTTTTTACAGTGGAACACACTTCAAAATATCTGAAACGGAATTCAAAATATGACAAAAAATGACCGCTGGCATGATCATGAAGCAACTTGTACTGAACATCCAGGAGGCTGAATGCACAAATACTCAGCTGATATGAACGCGTTCTCTCTGTGTTGACACCTTTGAGTCTCTGGGCCTCACGGTCGTGTTCCGACAGAACCAGAAATGCAAACATATATCACTTCTGTATGAGAGCCAAAAAATGAAAGCCGCAGCTCAAAGATAAGAATGACACACTGAGTGTGTGTGTGTGTGTGTGTGTGTGTGTGTGTTTCAATGGCGACATCAGAGGTGAAACTGTTAGTTGACATGTATCCCGTGTGACTGTTCGCTGACCGAACAAACAACCTGACCCTTAACCCCTGTGACCCTTCATGTAGCTTCAATCTATTTACTTCGTGTGTGTGTGTGTGTGTGTGTGTGTGTGTGTGTGTGTGTGTTTGAAATGTGTGTGTTCAGCAGCCGTAGAACTGAAGCAATTCTGGTCTTAGTTATTGATTTTAAAGGTTCTTTTCTCTGAGAGGTCAGAGGTCATTTTACTGGAAACGGTCTAGATTGCGAACACTACTCTTAGCTTCACATCTGTTTCTAGTGTGTGTGTGTGTGTGTGTTGAAATTTGACAGCTAGAATTGTCATGTATGTGTGTGAGCCTGGACGGGAGGGGTTGTGTTGTGTCATTGGTTTTGGTCACGCCCCCCCACCCCCCACCCCCCACCCCCCCGCCTGTCTCTGCAGATATTTAAACGCTGCACAGCCACACAATCTTTTCTTCACTCTTGTGTTTGCAGAGAAAACAGACCCAAGGTAAGTCTGTGTTTGTGTGGAGTTTTCCATTTTTTTTATAATTTACAAAAAAATTATATATTTTGTTACAAAAAACTAAATGTTTTATATTTCAAAAATTTTGCCAAAAGCCCAAGGACATGAATAATCGTAGATCAAAATGTTCACCGGCATCAGGGGAGCATGTCTCCAAAATCATCATATCATCATATTTTAGTTGATTGTTTTGAAACACAAACACTCTCTGCTTACGTCTTCTAATTCAGGAAGTAGTTTTGAGTCTGGGCTTGTTTTGCTTTATGATACGAGGCTTATAGGTTAAAGAAACCAACTATTTATTCTGAAACTCGTGTTTCTGACTTTCATACGAGCTGTGCAGGTCTGATTATATAAGCTGTTGGGTGTATCTGATGTCTACCTCTCATCAGCTCTTTTTAAATCACGGACAGTTTGTGCCTCCCCCTCTGGTACTGTTACATTAGACTCATTATTATGTTTTACATGTTTTAATCACCTAAAACAGACTGTGTTGTCCACATAAATCACTTTAAAGCTCTGAATTATGGTTGGTTAATCTCAGTTCGATATCAGCTATGAAACAAGCAGCTTAAGCATTTTTTTTTCTTATGATGATTTATGGAGTAACTTCGTCTTTCTAGTTATTAAAACTAATTTACCACCTTTAATTTAAACTGATTGCTATAACCAAGACAGTTTACATGATTATGGTTAATTATCAGCCCCAAAAAATCTAATATAATTGATTTCAGTTATTCAGTTTTTTTCCCCCAATTTCCTTTTTTCCCCTGTATTTTTTCTTATTAAACAAAGAAAAACATTTTTTTTTACATCAAGGAGAGACTAATTTATATGACAAGACGAACATCATTTCTTTGCTTTGGCCCCGTTGAGCTGAAGCTGATGAGATGAAGTTACAGAAAAGACTGAACTTTGTAACCTCTGTGTTACTGCAGCTGTTTATGGATACACTCAGTCTGTTACCAACACCCATAGCGTGCGTGTGTGTGTGTGTGTGTGTGTGTGTGTGTGTGTATTGTCTGAACTGGAGAACACAATGTTCCATTTCTGTGCTGCAGGCAGAAGTTAAACTTAATCAGATGGTGCTCTTGGAGGGAAGTTCAAGACCCAAGCTGCTAATTCTCTGAAACAGAAATGGTTTTGTGGGGTCATCAGCAGAACCTACAGTGAAATTATCACGAAACAGTCAAATGTCTCAATCACAAAGGAAGGAAGGTTACACTGAAACAGATTTACTTCTCAGCCAGCTGGCGGGTTGTCAGTTTTTCTCCTTAAAAAAAAAAACAAACCAAAGAGGGAAGTAGTAACTTTACAATCTGTGAGCCCACAGGGTTGCTGAGTTTGCGCTGAGCTAACGCTACAGCACTGGCATTTGTAATTCAGCACCGACTGGCAAAATGCTCCAGAGTTGTTTAGAGAACCAGTAAACAAGAGCGACCCAGAAGTATTTTCTTGTACCCCTAAAAAGCCACAGCATTTTTTTCTCTAAAATCGGGTAAAGCAGGCTAGAGGCTACCATTGAGCTAACAATGCTAGCAGTGAATTTGAAGCAAATAGTCAACCCCAAAAATATCTGTAGACAATTTTTCAATGACCAACTCAATATTGCAGTGAAATGTGTGTATGAAGTGAATAAGAGTCAATTTTGGCTATTTACTTCCTTTAATATGTCGTTCAGAACTATAACAGCAAGCTAACCACAAGCCAGCTAACAACCACATGTCTTCTAGTGCAGAAGACATATTACTTTAGTAAATGTGGTAAGGGCTCCCCACCGTAAAGCACCTACGAGTGCTAGCACCAGATATAACAATATATTTATCTACTTATCAGCTTACTGTACATGCCTCTTTTTCACTTGTCATCTAGAATCTTCTAGTGCTGATCATTAACTGGCAACAGCCATAAAACTCTGAACAGGAGTGAGAAAGGAACATTTTGCTTAGAAAAATGGGCTGAAATACCCAAATTTGACCACAGGAGGTCATTCTTACTTCATTCTTGTATTCCAGCTTGAATCTGTAATCTGACCACAGATTAAGTTAAAACAATATGTTTTTAAAATATATTTAGTTCCTACATTAAATATCTACAAAGAAGTTTAAAGTTCCAGTTGTCGCACCACCTCCACCAGCTCTCCTGGTGGGACCCTGAGATCTTCCAAGGCCAGCCTAGAGATATAACCCCTCCAGACTACTTTAGTGTGTGCACCACTGCAGATGCTGCCCCAGTCTGAGGGACACACGCCTCCTTACCGTGGTGGTATGCGGTTGTGGCCCTGGTGGCTATGCATTCACCCAGGGGGCTCGACAAGCTCTACCCCGGGCCGACACAGCTACTTTTCATCTCCTCCAACCAGTTTTCTGGAAGTGAATGTTGATGCTGCTTTCTTAACAGTGTTTCCTTAACAACCTTTGTCTCTTCTTGCAGATGCCTCAGTTTGAGAAACCAACTGTCCACATGAGGGACCCTGAGCGGGTGGAGCAGATCATCTGTGGCCTCATAAAAGGAGGAGCTTCCAAACTGCAGGTACGACTGTTAACTTACTGGTTTACATAAACTAGTTCACCCGATAGGTTTACAAGCTGGTTGTGTCTGTTTGTTGAGATTACTTCTTTGTAATCATGACAGACAAAATGTTCTCGTCTGTTTTAGATCATCACAGATTTTGACATGACGATAAGCAAATTTGCTGTAAATGGAAAGCGATGTCCGACGTGTCACAGTAAGTAAAATGCTAGCAGGGCTCTCCAGCAGATACGGAGGGCTCTTCCTGCCAAAACAGACACTAAATAAACAAACAAATAAATAAATAAATAAATAAATAAGGAAATAAAAATGTGAAAAAATAAATACTTAAGGAAATAAATAATAAATGTAAAAATAGATAAATGAGGAAATGATGTATTTTCATCCATTTCCATTTTGCTTTTAAAAAATTTTACTTCAAAATTTTTGTGAATTAGTTTAGGAACATATTAATTTCATTAGTAATTAATTAAATTAGATAACATTAATTTATTAATTAAACATATGTAATTTTTTTACAAATTTACATTGCTTTTTTAATTTGTCTGTCTATGTTCATTTGATTATACAACTGTTTACTTAATAAAGACTGCATTTATTGATTTTTAAATGTATTTAAAAAAAAATTATTTAGCCACATGCAGATACGGTCGTAAGAATCAGATTACACCTTGCTGCCTTGGTTTATTGTTTACTCAGATGTTATTGACAACTGCAAACTGGTGACAGAGGAGGGCAGGCAGAAGCTGCTGCAGCTGAAGCATAAATACTATCCCATTGAGATCGACCCTCACCTCAGTATGGAGGAGAAGTTTCCATTTATGGTGGAGTGGTAAGCCTTACTCCTTAATTCTAATGACTCTCAGATAAATACACATTTTTATACATGTGAGATTTTACTGAAATGATTTTGCTTCTAGGTATTTTAAGTCCCACTCGATACTTGTGGAGCAGCGCCTGGAGAAAGACAAACTACCGGAGGTGGTGAGGGAGTCTGACGTTGCACTCAGGTATCAACAGAAGAGGAGAGCCATAGGAATATGTGGAGCCTTCATTTACCGGAGCAGAGACGAGGACTAACTGTTGGTGTGTTTGGTTACAGAGAAGGGTTTGAGCAGTTCTTTGATCGCCTGCATCAGCACAACGTGCCCGTCTTCATTTTCTCTGCCGGTCTGGGAGATGTCCTTGAGGAAATCATTAGTCAGGCTGGAGTTTATCACCCCAACATTAAGGTTGTTTCCAACTTCATGGACTTCGATGACAGCGTACGTCCTTCTTTTGTTTGTTTACATTTAAACTACATGACTGAGAATTAGAGGGGCTGAACTCTGGGGTGTTTGTTTTGCAGGGCGTCATAAAGGGATTCAAAGGCGAGCTCATCCACGTGTACAACAAACACGATGGTGCCCTGCGGAGCACGGAGTACTTTAAACAGCTGAGGGACAACAGCAACATTATCCTGTTGGGTGACTCAATGGGAGACCTCAGCATGGCTGACGGCGTCCCCAACGTAGAGCACATCCTCAAGATCGGCTTCCTTAATGACAAGGTAGAGTCAAAACAATCACAGGTTTTAACCCTCTTATTACCAACCTGTCGCCGCCGACAGGATTTGACATGCGCACTTCTCATTACCACAAGTCCTGAACCGTTCCAAGATTTCTGTAACATTCCAAAAGTGCTGAAAAGATTAAAAATAGGGCTTTTCGTGCATATACAATACATTACGGTAGCCACCAGGATTCCCTGTCTTGAGCTCAACGAATCACAACACAGATTCAGAGACGTGCTGAGTTTGTCATCCAAAATGCTCCGTTTTATAACTTTTGAATGGCTGATCATGAAGCAATCAGAGTTATAGAAAATATCGCTACGAGGGGAAATCCTGCTGTACAGTCTGATTGAAACAGAGCACAGCGGAGCGCAGCGCCGCGGTGAAAGCGGATAACGGGACGGGGAAGCTAATTAGCATAAAAAGCCAGCATGAAACTATGGAAATGCCTCAAAGAAAATCAACACGATCTATTAGGTGTCCCAGAAGGCTTATATCTGAAGACGGTGACCACGAAGGACAGAAGAGAGAGAACAAGGAACCACCTTTCGTCAAACTTTTTGACTGGTCTATTGTTCTTTGACCTTTATGCCCTTTCCCCCCAACCCACCTTACATCAAACTTGACAGGTGTATGGTTAGTAGTCCCCTTTTGTGATATGATCTTTAATGATCCTATATGTCAAGAAATGAATTGATGACTGTTGTGTAATGACGCATGATGTCTCCTTTTGTCAAGATGTATATTGTTGATCTGCTTTGATCTGAACCACTTTAGTTACGCTTGATAACTGTTTTGTGTTAACCCCACAGTTCCCACAGCCCCTCCCTTTCATACGTGAGACCCCACTTCCCTACACACACAGACTGTGTGTGTGTGTGTGTGTGTGTGTGTGTGTGTGTGTGTGTGTGTGTGTAATGATGACTTCCTCTGTTGTAAAATGTGTATTCTGAATTGTTCAAAATATGACACTAAGGAGAGGAGAGGGGTTGAAAGGGATGCCTGTGTGAGTGACTGAGTGAGCGATAGAGGAAGCAAGGGGGTGGGCTAATGAGTCAGTCTTTCATGGTGGCTCACTTGTTTATGAAAGCAAAGATGGTCAGCAGGAATAGACAACTGGACGCTGTTTGCTGAATGGTTATTAATGATCAACTAGTCTTAAAAGGGGGAACTTCTTTCTTTCATTGTAAAGTGATACCCCCAGCATTTACTGGCAGAGCTTTGTCTACTGAGTCCCATTTAAAGCTGAGTCCAATTCTGTCCCGCTCTGAACTTGAGACAGTTACCCACACCTTCATCTCCTCACGCTTAGACTACTGTAACTCTCCAGGTCCAGTGATCAAAGCCTGCTGGTTGTGCAGCACCAGGCTAAAGACCAAGGGTGACAGATCATTTGCTGCTGTGGCCCCCAGACTCTGGAAGTCTCTCCACCTGAGCCTGAGATCAGTGGACTCAGTGGTCTCCTTTAAAAAGCAGCTGAAGACTCACCTGTTCAGGGCTTTGTATGCCCGTCTTCACCACTCTCTTTATTCTGCTCTCCCCACCTATTCCACCTTCCTCAGGATCCACTGATTTCCCTCTTTCCTATTCACTCTCTTTCTTTACATATTTTTTAATCACAATTGTCTATTTTTTGCTCATTTTAAATATATTTTAACAATTTTCTAAATTATTTTTTATATTTTTACATTTTTTGTTTTTGTGAAGCGCCTTGTAATTTTTATCTTGAGAGGCGCTATAGAAATGATTTCTTCTTCTTCTTCTTCTTCTTCTTCTTCTTCTTCTTCTTCTTTTTCATCATCATCATCATCATCATCATCTACTGATGCCTTCATTTACATGTGAAGTAAACCTAAATGGAATGTGCTTGGCTGATGCTATTACAATTCCTCTGTCTTTCCATACCTTAAATATTGCATCTGACCTGCCTGGTGGAAAGAAGTGATTACCCCATATCTGACTGAATTGAAATAGGCAATGAGGTTCTTTCAAGAAGGTCTTTACATTGTACCGTACTTTGACCATGTTTGTCGTTTAAAAGTTTTCTTACTGTGTTGGAATATGAATATGAAGGAAGAGGCTGGTTTAGTCCATAAGCTTCCATTTCTACCCAGTGTGGTGAATGGTTCGTGTAGTAAAACATAATAGACCTTAGTTGCGCGGCCCAATAGTACAGCTTAAGATTTGGACATTTTAAACCTCCTCGTTCATAAGGCAAGTACATTAAGGATAACCGAAGTCTTGCCTTTTTGTTATTCCAAATAAAGCGCACAAATATCTTTTTCATTTGCAAGAAGAATCCTGTAGGAGGTGGTAGTGGAATATTTTGAAACAAGTTTAGCAACTTTGGAAGAATACTCATTTTTAGAGTATGAATTATACCAATCATGGATATTGGCAGCTGCATCCATCTATCCACTGAATTTTGAATTCCACTTACTAAGAAATCGAAGTTTGTTTCAATCATTTTTCCCAATCTCGGTAAAATCTGAATTCCCAGGTACTCAAATTGTGTCACAACGTTAAACTGTGCAACCTCTGGGATCGGGTTTAGTCTTTCATATTTATTTAACAAAAGAATAGAGGATTTTGTTTTAAGTTTGTAACCTGAGATTTTACTATATGATTGAATGACTTCCAAAATTGTCGGTGTTGATTTTTCTACATTTGAAATGAATAAAATTACGTCATCGGCAAAGAGATCCTGTGTTCGGTTGGTCCTACACCAATTCCACTGAGTTGTGGATGAGAGCGTATTGCTATTGCAAACGGTTCTATTGCCATATTATATGATAGTGGCGAGAGGGGGCAACCTTGGCGACGGCCCCTTTTTATTGCTATTGGTTGGGAAATATTTCTATTTGTTATAATTTCAGCAGTGGGGTTGCTATGTAGGGTTTTGATCCATGTGATAAAATAATTGCCACATCCAAATTCTTCCAAAACCCTGAAAAGATATGTCCATTCAACCCTGTCGAAGGCTTTTTCAGCATCTAGTGACAGGAAAGCTGTATTTAGCGCATCATTTTTATAGTGAATAATATTTAATAACCTTCGTACATTATGGGAACCCTGTCTTCCTACAACAAATCCATTTTGGTCTTGATTTATGAATTGAAGGAGAACGTTATGAAGTCTTTCCGTTAGTACTTTGGAAACAATTTTCATATCCAAGTTCAAGAGACTGATGGGTCTTAAATTCTTGCATTTATCTTGAGATTTTCCTGGTTTTGGGAGGAGAGTAATCAAGACTGTGTTTAATGAAAGGGGGGAATCTGACTGTAAGATTTCTTCATACATATCCAATAAGGGGACCAATGATTTAGACTTTTCCAGAGTCCATGTTGTCAATGGCTTGGTCAATTTCTTCCTTAGTTAGATTTGAATTTAGATTTATTTGATTTACTTCTGAAATAGAGGGAATATTTAAATTATTTAGAAAGGAGTTTACATCATCTAAATAAATTTTTGATTGTGTTTTATATAAATCTTCATATTTCTTGAACTCTGTTTTTATTTATTTCGGATCTACGATTGTCTGTCCGTTTGATATAATTGAAGTAATAGGAGGTTTAGTTTCAAGATGTTTTATTTGCCATGCCAACAATTTTCCTGCTTTATCCCCCGTTTGTAAAACGACTGTTTCAGTCGTAAGAGACTTGATGCAGCTCTAGGTGCGAATGTTTATTATATTCGGCTCTTAATATTAATAACTCCTTCTCCAATTGCAAACTATTGGCGTCAGCGTTATATATTTTTGTTTGAAGAGTCTTTATTATTTATTTATATTTATGTTTTCCAGTTGTAACCTGGATTCTCTTTCTTTTTTGATTTGAAACCTGTATAGCTGATGATGTGCCCTCGCAGAAAAGCTTTGAATGCTTCCCATCTGGTGCAAGCTGTAGTTTGCATGGTATTAATTTGGAAGTACTCATCAATATGTTTGCCTATATATTTTACCAAGCCTTCGTTCTGTAGCCATTTGTGTTTGAAATGCCAACTAGGTGGAGCTTTCAGTAATTTATCTGCCTTGTAGACTAAGCAACATGGGGCATGGTCTGAGATAACGATATTATCATAGGAGCAGTTAAAAACCTTAGATAGCAGTTCTGAAGAAACCAGAAAGAAATCTATTCTAGAGTATGTCTGAAAAGTTCCTGAATAACAGGAATAGGCTTCAGCATTTGGATTTCTCTCTCTCCATATATCTAATAAGTATCGGGCATTCTTAAGAAAAACACTGTATATACACATTTTCACAACTGATGAGAATTGATGAGCACTCCAGTCTCTAACAGATCGGCTTGGGATCTCTGCAGGTGGAGGAGCGTCTGGACAATTACATGGACTCTTATGACATCGTCCTTGTGAAGGACGAGACTCTGGAAGTGCCCAACGCCATCCTTCAGAAGGTTTTATAACTCCAGCTCATGATGTCCTCTTCACCACAGGGCCAGTCAGACTCTTTAACCAGCATTTTTCTTTAATTCTCTTCCTGTGGACCCCCACCGGCCTCTTAAAAGGAAAGTTCACATTACCTGAATGAACTGTTTCTAAAGTCCCTACGGCAGCCTGTCTCTGGTGTGTTTTCAGTCAACAAATGTTTCTCTTGAGTCATTTTAATGATGTAACAATGATGAGAGCATGCAAATTATCACTCCAACTTTATAATTTGCACATTATTGTAATCAGCATTATTTTTAGAAGTATTTTTGATATTGCAATATTTGTACACGAAATGAGGGGTTTCTGGGGGTATTTAATGCCCACCTGGTCAGTGTTTCAAATGAAGCTATTGATCTTCATTTTAGCTAAAATATTGTAAATTAAAACCATATGAGAAATATATAGAGTCATAAAGCACATAAAGGACCTTTAAAATATATTTTTAGACAAAAAACTGAATGTTTTGCTCAAAGAGAGCTGCAACAGGACAATGAGGATTAGTAAAAACAAACAGGGTTTGGGTAATTAACAGGAAATGTATAAGATCATAATTATTATAAAAGACAAAATGCACTTTAAATTATTTCATATGGAAAAATTAATCCAATGTGCATGAGCACATGTGGCTGTAGCTTTAGTTTGTGGATGTAGGAAAAATGTATTGCACAAAAACGAAGCCATGTTTACACACGTTTTTTTTACTTCAAATTACTAATTTGATATCATTCAATCCAAAGAGGAGAAAAGAGGCTTTTTGTTAGGTAAAGTAAAGATTAATGGAGTCAACCATTTTTCCATCAAATTATTCTTTGCAATATGAAGGTTGGAAACAATACTTCGTGTTGAAGTGACCTCTAGTGGTCAGTGACAGCAGTTGCAAAGTGAGTATCATTTCTCTCGTAAATAAAGATTTCTTTATTTATGAAATGTTTCACTGTCTCATTAGATAGAGGTAAATATGCTGCTGCACGTGGTTCATTACATCCCAGTAAAACTTGTTAAAAGTGATTTAAAATCTGTGGTAAAAGTTCAGATCCACCTCTAAATTATTCAGATTTTTCTGGAGCTCCAAAGGTAGAATTTCTCCACCTGTTTGTGTCATCATCTTGTGTTTAAAAGTATTTTTAGTGTGTGTGTGTGTGTGTGTTTTAAATGTGCTGCTATCACCTGCATGTTGCCTTTTCTTATTGTAGAGTTTACGTCAAAGACATGAGTACAAGTGTACACACCAACGATAACATCATACTATACATGGAGATGTATATTGTTTTTCTGCATTCAAGATATTTCAGAAGTTTTGACTGGTTTGTTTTATTTTTATAAGCGGGTGACTTATTTTGACGGTGTGAGGAAAAAATGGCAATAAAAATTCATTTTGTGAGGCTGCCAGTGCATCACAGGATGGAGTTTAGACCCCCAAAGAGTCTTTGTGAATCTTATTTGAATGGTCATCAACATGAATCTTTTTACATACAGATAATGTTACACTGCAATACTCCAAATTGATGGTATTTTTAGTTTATTGTAAAAATATGTGAAGATGTATGATACACACAGTCCCAGGTCAGCTGATAAACACCATTTTTAAAAATGATTTTACTAATTATTAGATTAAGCACAACCCGTCATGTTGTCAAGAGTAAAAAAAAAATCCTGAAAAAGATTGTCTGGTAACTTTGGCAAAACAATCAAATTTAAAATTAAACAAGCTAAATAAGCCTATTGATGGCCATCAGCCAGTAGATGAACCTTTCAGTATTGTTTCTGTAATATTTTCTAAGCTCAGGCCTTGCAAGGGACTTCTAAAGGCACAAAACATAAAAGGAAAGAATGCAATAATAAAAACAGCCAAACTTGTAAACAATGCTCCTTGTCTGCTCTTAAAATAAATACACCAGGATACATTTTAGATAATGAGTTAAAAATCACAGCCTTTGTCTTATTGGGTGGGAAACTCAGTTGGAAAATGTATTAATTTCTGTTATTTATGTAGTTATGGTATGTGTTTATTTTCCAAAAAGAATAAAACCATCCATAGCCCATCTATGACACTTTAGGTCTGAATTTTTATTCCTATAAAATTATACAATTTTTCCTAATTTTTGACAAATTTTGTAAAATATAAACAAACATATATATTTTACAGCATAAATCAAGGTGATATGGCATATTTTGTAATTTCACTAATGTATCCTGGCACAAATGATCACATTGTTTTTCGAATAAAATAAGTGGAATGAAATTATTGGTAGAATAAAAAATATATTAATAGTTAACAAATAAATACATTTAAAATAACTAAAAAGAAGCTGTGGAAATTAGAATGAAGGAAAACTCAGTTTCCCATGAAACAGTTCATTTTCGTTCATGCGCACTAACGCGCAGCTTTCCCGTTAAGCGTCAGTACCATGACAACAGGATGATGGTTCTCAGCAAGATGGTGAGGAATGTAATGTTTGTGTGACCGAGGAGTGAGGAACGAACACTGGCTTTTGTGAAGGTAAGAAAACCTCAGGAGGTTTTTGCCATAAATGAAAAACTCGGAGACTTTAGCGGCAGCTCCCTGACCTACTAGCTAGTGCCCAGGCAACTACTTGGAGTGGAAGCTAATTAGCCGCGGCTAAGCTAAAGTTAAATCTGCCTGCTTGATTTGAATGTATCCGTGCAGGCTGCTCGAGAGTCACCAATGGTTTAAAAGTGCTTGACTTGGAGGAACAGGAGAAGGGTGATTACCGAAAATTCTAAACTAATGAAAAATGAAGCATCAGTAGTTTCGTCATGTTTTGCTACTGAAGCCACAAAGTGTAGTTTCCACTATGCTTTTGACTAAAGGAGCATCCTCTTTACTAATAGATACAAAATTGAGCTTTTTTCCATTTTCACCAACACCACACAGTAACAACATAATAACAATCATACAAATGACATGGTCTTCACTTTTGAACACCATCTTAACCATATTATTCCCTCGTTTGATATTTAAATGTGTTTATTATGAAGATGGCGCTCACCTACCATCAATTTTGGAAAAACTTCATTCTTGCTAAAAATAAAAGAAGCCCTAGAACATTGAAATGATCATTTCTTTGCTTGATTGCTACACTGTTGTCTCACACTGTATGTGTATGAGGTTAGGAGAGGTTCAGTGTCGGGATTAACTGCCTGTTCCACCTGCTCAGCACTTACCAAGTAGAAAAGCTGCTTGCCCCCACCTACCTCCTCCTTTATTCTGCTTCTCAAACAAGCATGTGACTAGCTGCTCCCCCCGGACTTGGCTGCAGTCCTAAGCTTGATTCACAAATCACTAAAACTAACTGGCCAAATGGCAAGGTGATATATCAAAATAGCAGGAAATGATTGCAATTATTTCACCTTTATTCATATTTATAAAAACAGGGCGTGAGAGAATACCATTGAAATATCACAATATTTGTCGTAGTTTTACAGTTTGGGATGAAGATACAAAAAAATGTTTTTTCTTAAATAACAAAAAAAAAAAAACGTTGACATTTTATGAATGTCTCTTTATTATTATTATTATTATTATTATTATTATTATAGTTGTTGTTATTATTATGTCTCATTTTCTTCTTTGTCTCTGTCCAGTTCAGGACACCATGTCTCTGTTCAAAGCCTGTGACTGGTGGTCAGCAACTCTTGGCGAGGGTGAAGAGTTTGACCAGGGGTGTTTATGTGTTGGAGACGTGGACAACAGTGGGACAGGACATGGTTAGTGAGTAACTTCTCTTCACGCTGACTAACTCAACCCTAACCGTAACCCATAAACTTAGTAAGTAGAGGAATGTGTGTTTAATCAGTCATAACAAGTATCCCTGGGCATGCTCAAGCTGTCCAAATGCTGCTAATCAGGGGCAGAGCCCCACACCTGTGACTGGAACACACCTGGCTGCACTTAAACAGCAAGAGAATGTTGCAGAAGAATTAGCAACAGTGTTTGGGTGGAAACCTAATCCAACCGGTGTTTGACAGTGTTGCTCCTTCCACAGATGTTTGGTTTGACTAGAATATGAGCTGTGGGGCCTAAAAGAATACAATAAAAAAGTTTAAACAAAACAAATAATCTTACTTTTTGTGCTAAATATACAGTAGATGACAAGACCTAAACTATACCCCTTTGTCTTTATAAATTATAATACATACTTTGTATTTACAGACAAAACCTAGTAAATTATTCCAGTAATTTACAGTTGGGAGTCTACGTCCTCATAGTCTGAAATATATGAATACAAGACCTGCAATTAATGAAAATCTAACAGTGGGTATTAACTTGAATGTCTCCTGTATGTGCACCCTATTCAAAGCGTTTGTGGGTTTAAACATTTTACAGACAAGATCATCGTAGGCAGTTACATGGGGATGCTGCGAATCTTCTCCCCGCATGCCAACAAATGCACTGAAGGCAGCCCAGCTGATGCGCAGCTCCTTGAAGTCCAGCTTCAAAACGCCATCATCCAGGTTGAAGTGGGCAGGTTTGTCTCGTAAGTATTTGGCACAAATCTGAGATACATTTGTGTGCTTTAGAGTGTCACGTTATCTGTTTTTAAAGCTTTTCACAGTAAAAACTCCTTATTTGAAAAAAAAGTCTATTTAGATGCAAAACACTCAAACGTCTTAAAAATGATCGCTGGAAAACTTACTACAACCAATGCACAAGCTAAAACTGAGTCGTAACGAAGTAGCTGGTTGTGATTTTATTAAGCCATCATTTATTAAGCTTTTAAGCTGTACTAAGGGTAATCAATCAATCAATCAATCAACCAATCAATCAATCAATCAATCAATCAATCAATCACTTTATTAAAGACACAAGAAGGTCTATAACAGATAGTAAAAAAATAGATATTTAGAATAGGTAAAATACATGCAAGCTACTTTAGGCTCACATAAAGGTAAAAACGCCAATAAATGAAAATGTTAGAATAAAACATGACAGAACTGTGTGTAGGGTTTGTCAAGGACTGGATTATACTGTTCTTAGAGTCCCTTAATCTACACATACAACTGTACATGAGATTCCGTCTCACTGCAGGGCTTGTAGGTACACCCACACTTAGGGGTGGGCAATATAAACGATATAAGGTAGAAACGATATAAAATTGGGTAATGATAGAGTTTTTGGCTATATCGCAATACCGCGATATTGTGATAACACATGAGGTCACTAAGGCCTAGTCCACACGTAGCCGTTTTAAAAAAAAACAAATATCCGCTCCTCCAAAAACTTGCATCCACACCACCTCGTTTAAAAAAAAAAACTGTCCACACGTACCCGGATAAATACGTTGTTAAGGACATGCCAGACCTGTAGGCGGCAGTACTTCCCCCGTTCTTAACCTCGTCCTTCGTCTGTGGTCTTCCGCAAGGAGCAGTAATTCCGCTTGCAGAAACAAACAAGCAAAAGGCGCTTGGACAATTGATAAAGCGAGCACAGCTCTGAGGGCATCCATGCTGTCGGCTAGTGTAAACACAGGTCGCACGCGTGATGTCAGCAATTTTTTTGTCGCGGAAAGTGACGTTGCGGATCTTAAAACTCCGGTTTTGTCTGTCCACACGCAGACACCCAAAACGAAGAAAACGCAGATCTTCACTTTGGCCGGAGTTTTTAAAAAGATCCGTTTTCATGTGAAAAAAACTCCGTTTTCGTGTGGATGACAGGCCAAAACGTAGAAAAATATCTACGTTTTGGCAGATCCCCGGCTACGTGTGGACAGGGCCTGCTGACATTAGGACAACAAGCATGGAGTGGGAGGAGGAGGAGGCCTATATGCCTCATGTGGCATATATTTGCCACATGAGGAAATTTAAAAGCATGTCATTTTGACATATATAAACATAGGAAAAATATATCGCAATATATATCGTTACCACACATGCTTCAGATTATATCGCCATATAGATTTGAGGCCATATCGCCCAGCCCTACCCACACTAACAAACATTGTGCTTGCACTGCACCTTGGCAATCTAAGCATGGTCCTTAACCCATCATTATATGCAACAGTGAGTTTCCTCATGCTGCTTTGCTTGTAGCACCTCCATAGGTGGGCAGTGTGCACAGCTGTACATATTGTTATTTTGAGTGTCTGTACTTAGATAGACTCTGTATTTGGCTGATTTACAGAGCTAGAATGAAACCCCAAACTTAATAAGAAGGTAGCTTCCTGTCTTGTTTTCTCATGATGAACAGCAAGCCATGTTGAGCTGTTCCATACGCTCTCTAGGTTAAACACCTTACATTCATCGATAAACAGAAAGAAAAAAATAAAAAATGTACAAAACCTAGTAAGTTTTTCAGTGCGTTTGACTGATCTTTGCTGTTTGTTCGCTTTTGTTGGGATTGAATAATTTCCTTTTAGTGGTGTCTAGGCAAATAAAACCATTAAGATGAACTAAATATGAATCAACTAAAGGCAACATTCTGCATCCAACCACTGAATTGTCAAATCACTATTTTCATTTATTTAATTATAACAACTCATTTTTACACATGATGTTCTTTGGTGTCGAAACGTCTATTAAAGGATAGAATAGGAAATGTTTCTACTGCCATCCAAGCAAGTTACTTCTTGAAAATACACAATTCAAAGGTCTAAGTTTATTTTTCCTGTTCGTTGTGGTTTTGGTGGCGAAATAAATACGTTAAAATAAACCTTGGCTCATCATGGAACGTCACCTTACATCCAACCATAACCAACATATGGAGCAGCTGTTGCAGTCATTATTTTTCAATTGTGAGCTAAAATAAATCAGGATTCCACCCTGAGGCTGAGAACATGGATCCAACCACACCAGCAGGAAGCTTCTCCTTTTTTGGAATATTTGAGGAAAAAGTTTTCCAGCTGCCGACCCACAGGTCCATGTTGGAGACCGCGGTTACGTGGTTGACTCTACGGATGTTCTGTGTCAAACGTATTCTGTGTTCTCAGGTGTTCAGAGTTTCTCCACCTGGCTGTTCTTCACCCCAGGAAGCTGTCGGTCTACGCTGTTTTTGGTAAAAACCACATCAAGTCCTCAAACCTTCATAAAACAAATGATTGTCTCTCACTTACATCATGATTTATATCTAGTGAGATCTTTTAGAACTTGTTGCTGTTGAATGCAGGAACTGCAGGGAATGTGGATCATGGAGATCAGTACCAGCTGAAGTTGATTTATGAGCACAACCTGCAGAGAACTGCTTGCAACATGACGTATGGCACATTTGGAGGGGTCACAGGTAATCATATGTTGCAAAAATGTCAGCATTTATTTCTGGTCTTTTATTTCTAGATTTGTAATCGTTAAAGAGATACTATGCAACTTTTTCATATTTTTAACTATTTTCTTGCTCCACAATGTGCTGAAATGACCCTTTATAGGGTTAATGATAAGTCACTCCGATCCCCAACACCCTCTGTGTCCAGAGTACCACAACTTTCAACTTCAAAACTGGCTGGCCGCTATCTGTTAGGTCACACTTTAGTCTTAGGCCTAGTCCACACGTAGCCGTTTTTTTTAAAAAACGAATATCCGCCCCTCCAAAAACTTGCATCCACACCACCTCGTTTTAAAAAAACTCTGTCCACACGTACCCGGATAAATACGTTGTTAAGGACATGCCAGACCTGTAGGCGGCAGTACTTCCCCCGTTCTTAACCTCGTCCTTCGTCTGTGGTCTTCCGCAAGGAGCAGTAATTCCGCTTGCAAAAACAAACAAGCAAAAGGCGCTTGGACAATTGATAAAGCGAGTGCAGCTCTGAGGGCATCCATGCTGTCGGCTAGTGTAAACACAGGTCGCACACGTGATGTCAGCATTTTTTTGTCGCGGAAAGTGACGTTGCGGATCTTAAAACTCCGGTTTTGTCCGTCCACACACAGACACCCAAAACGGAGAAAACGCAGATATTCACTTTGGCCAGAGTTTTTAAAAAACTCCGTTTTCGTGTGGATGACGTAGAAAAATATCTTATTTTTTGGCAGATCCCCGGCTACGTGTGGACAGGGCCTTAATAAAGTGGAGCTGAGATGCCAGCGCTGGAGTCCGCTTCCAGCAGGTTTCCTGCATGTTTTAGATCACGAACACAGCTGATTTGTTTGATTTAGTGATTTTTATCATGAGAGGGGCCATACAAAGGGCCATTTCTTCTTCTTCCTGACTTTGATCAGTTCTGATACGTTCAAATTTTGTAAATGAGTTTTAAGTGTTAGACTTCACTTAGCCTCAGAGCTTTGGGTCGACAATTTCTTCTGTCGATTAGGACCTTGGCATACGTTTTGCCAGAGAAGATCCTCACAAATCTATACAAGTGTAATATGTGTGTATTCAAAGTGCAAATTTGTGCACGTGTGCCTTTACAGAAAAGACGATGGCAGCAACAGGCCAAAAAAGCATCTAACTGTAAAGTTCTGTTTAAGGAGCAAAAGGGAAAAAAAAGACGGATCATGTTGCTGCCTTTTTTTTGACTCAACTGGACGTTTGGAAAAATCAAGTAGGGGAAAGCCCTCTGGCAGTTACTATCCAAGGAAAACACACACACACACACACACACACACACACACACACACACACACACGCGGGAAAACCCCTTTAAAGTACAGAAAGTGTCCTTTTAAAAATAAAGGCTGTATTGTCAAGGTGTGTGTGAATAATGCACTCGCCAGACACTGTGGCCTGGCAAGATGAACCCGGCATTGACTCCATGTTTAGATGGCTGTGTGCGTGTGTGTGTGTGTGTGTGTGCGTGTGTGTGTTTGATTGATTGATAGAACAGTCTGGACTCATTAAAGCCAATACTTCAGTTTATACCCGATGCACGTTCATCCATGCCACAGAGCCATGAATGTGACTTTGTCTCTGCGTGTTTTTTGTTATTACCAAACTGTGGAACGAGTCCTGGAGATGTCAAACGAGCTCTCACACAAACTCACGTGTTTGTACAAACGTACATGCCAGTTTGGACCAAGAGCCCAGATTCCCGACTCTTTCCCTGAAGTAAATTACTTTAACCGTAACCTAGAATTAAATTTAGGCTCAACCTCGAAGCACAACCTTGACCAAAAGGCTTTTTTTTATTCTCATTTCCTATAAGCAATCCTGAAAATAATCTAAACTCACTCATGGTGATAAGACACATGCACAGACAAGGTGCAAGCTGCTCTTCATAAATGAAATCATCCTGTACCTTCCTGTTGTTCAGTGTGTCTCCACTAGGTGGCAATAGAAGCTCTGGAATAGCATTCAAAAGGCATGAATGAATGGGAAGTTGTATTCATTTTTCAAAGAGGGGATTCCCCTTCTCGCACTTTTCGGCAAGGTGCTCATAGATGTAGGGGGAAAGTATATAACTGGTAGAAATCCTGCCTTAATTAGGAGCCGCTTCACTAAAAATATGTTAAAAGCTCCACTTTTTTGTTTCATGTAGTGATTTATCTTTATGTTTGTATAGTTTGATGCCTCATATTTATTCTGTCAGTTTAGAAGATGTCAAACTTGGAATGATAAAGCTTGTATCGAGAAAAAAGAAAGGACTGGAGAAAAGTCATATGAAGGATGTTGTAGCATCAGTATACGTCGCTGGATGTGTTTTTAATAGACTAAGGACCGTCCATAAACGTAAGCTGTGTGACAGCTTGTTCAAATTTTGCACTCAGATCGACCATGGAGAGAGTGTGTGTGCACGTGGGAAGGTTTTTACAAGACGTGTCTGTTCCTACACGTGAGTGTGTCCGGTGGTCTGTTAGGAGCCATTTAGCTGTGCTGTAGGCACTAATAGCAGCTCTGTACTAACACTGCTCTAATAGCCCATCTGCCTCTGGGTTTGGGTCACTTTCAGGCCACACACACACACACACACACACACACGCATGCACGCACACACACACACACACACTTTCACGTTGTCACACACTGAGGTGAAGCGCTGCCCACTCCAGCCTCTGTGCTTTGTTGGCTCCTTGTACAACATTTTTTCATAATCACACTAATATAGGCCTGTTTCCTCTGTTCTGTGTGAGCTGTAGTGTGCGTGTGTGTCCGTCTATGTAGGCTTGTGGACCAAAGACTGTTTAAAAGGGTGAATGTTTGCCCACGTGTCTTTTAACATTCACATGCATGTGTGTGTGTGTGTGTGTGTGTGTGCGTGTGTGTGTGTGTGTGTGTGTGTGTGTGTGTGCGCTCTCAGGCTGGACTGTTTAACATGTTGCACCAGAGCATGGGCTTTAGAAGGATTTACATGTGCACTTGCCTTAATGGCACAGACCGGTGCCCTTTTCATGCATAAATGGCACTTCATAATCACCTATGTTAGCGTTAGAAGTTTCAATATAAATATATAACAAGCCTTTTACTTTTAAAATTGTGAATATATTGGTTAAATTATATATGTAAGCGAGTTACTACCCGCTAGCCACTGAAGCTGCAACTACTAAGCAGCTAACCAACCATAGATAACTTCTTTGGATTAAAAAAAACATTTTATATCAGTTGACTTACATTGAAATTTTCTCCGAAGTAGCTGCCGGTGTTATGCCGAGAACAGCCTGCCTGCCGAAATTTGCATCCCCTGCCACGGGAGCGCGCATTGCGACGGCAATGAGATATACACGTACTATTACCATGATAACTATGCATGTGCGTCCTGAAAACTTATGTTGTCACAGTTGAATGTATATAAATAAATAAACAACTATATATATATATATATATATATATATATATATATATATATATATATAATTTTAAAAAAAGAGAGAAATCCCGGGTTTTATACAAACACTTTTCACGTTCCTGCATTGAAACTTTACTGTGTCCCAGATGTATTTTTCGGTGCTCTGCTATTTTATGAGTCATATTCTCTGCTTTTAGCATAGCAGGTAAAACATTTTATGACATCTAAACATTTTAAAGTATTGATTAGAGGGCTGATTCTGTCGCAAACAGGACACAGTATGAGTTTGTCAAAAGTAGTAAAAAACGTTCTATCCACTTTTAATGGCAGACTGCACAATCTCGTGATCGGTTAATCTAATAATTCTTAAATAATAGTCTTCAGGAAAAACTGCGTGGGGGGAGGGGGATGTTACGTTATTGAGATTCCTTACGTTATAACAGTATTTTATTTATCAATAAAGGTTTTTTTTAAAACTACTACCGGCCTGTTTGTCTGTGTGTACTCCTCTTTAACCGCTCTAATCAGTAGCTCAGAGGACAAATGGGGTTGTGTAGAAAGTGAAACATCATTCATAACTTTATCATTACTTGAAATAATAGGGGATGCTTTTAAGGACACAACGACAGTCTTGAACAGTCACCAAAATATCCACTAATGACGCATTTTGAACAGCATTTTTCGCACACGCACACAGAAACACGTTTTTGCCTGAATTTAAACTCCACCGTTATGTTATCATGTACACCTTCTTAGACATTCACCTCTTTCCTCCACGAAACATCGTGTTTGATCTCCTTGTTGAGTTGCAGCGTGTCAGGCTCAACAGCTAGGTGTGTTAATGGATACTCATCCCTGGCACACACTCACTCTGTTACACATAGGTGTGTGAAAGTGTGCAGCCTTTTTGCCTTACACCTCAATGATGGATGTTAAGTGTGTGTGTGTGTGTGTGTGTGTGTGTGTGTGTGTGTGTGTGTGTGTGTGTGTGTGTGTGTGTGTGTTTGCGCTGTAGGTGGCTGTCCTCCTGACCTGTAGCTGATGGCAGTGTGAGTTTTAATAGCACATTGAGGCCTAATTATAGTTCTCTGGTCACATAGCTCCACTTCTTTACGACCATGTGTGTGACAGTGTGTTTTGCGTGTTAGGGCTTAATATTTCCTACATCCTTTTTTCCCCTGTTAAACACACACTTGTGTGCACACACACTTTAGCACAGGGGTGTGTGTGTGTGTGTGTGTGTGTGTGTGTGTGTGTCTGTGTAGGTGTTAATGGAAATATCAGATTCCACCAAAGGGGCGATCACACCTCAACACAACACGAGATCATGGCTGAAATACAACAGGTCATGGAAGTCATCTGGAATGGTGGATGAGTTTAAATAAAAGAAATACCGACATAAAGTGGAAGTGAAATAACTGTGGCCATGATGATACACGTTAGATCTTTAGATTGCATCAGAATTCATTCTCTCTGGCGTTGTTTCTCTTCCTCAACACTCCCGATTCAGTGGTTGAATGACCTGTTCAGCAAGCCATCAAGCTCTTCAGAAGTAAGGTAGTCCCCACTTATTAAAATCAGGTGTGTTGAAGCAGGGAAACCTCTTAAATAAGCAGGATGGTGGCCTTAGAGGACCAGAATTGGACACCACTCACTTAAAGCATCTCTGAACAACTGCTCCAAGATCCATTGCCTGTGCAGCTCTAACAAACCACTTAGAACATGTAAAACCACATTTTCAGTATGAGTTGTTCTTATTAGCTGGATTTTTCTGCAAAGGAGTTTGGTTCCTGATGCATTCCCAGTGTAAACCTTGTGCTTTGCTGTGCCACTTCTCCACCAGGTCACCATTCTTTGTGCATCCAGTCCATGGACGGGATGCTGATGTTCTTCGAGCAGGACAGCTACACCTTTGGCAGGTTCCTCCCTGGTTTTCTGCTGCCTGGTCCACTAGCTTACAACTCGAGAACTGACAGCTTCCTCACGGTGTCGTCTGCACGTCAGCTGGAGAGCTACAAGTAGGTTCAAAGTTATCTCACAGTACAAGATAAAAGCTGCAATAGCAAATTTACAGAACAAGCTAGCTTTGAAACACAAACATAGTCACAGAAATCTCACCTGTCGGGTGATCCTCAGGTATATTCCTTAGGCTACGTCCTCCAGAACTGCCAGAAGAAACCAGATAGTGCTAAACACCAGTCTCCGTTTTCTACATCCAAACATCTTTTGTTGTCCGTGACTTCAAATGGTATTTTTACTTTGGGGACTAGTTTGTCCTAAAGCTGAAGTGGTAGCAGCTGGCTGTTTCTCCTTCTCTGATATTATTAAGCAAGAGAACCTCTCACACCAGTGGTGTTCTGTTGTAAAATACATGCGTGCAAAATGAATGAAGAACTCAGGACGGCGTGGACGAGGGTTGAGACCGACAACCGGATGCTTTTGGTTCGAACAATTTTGTTGGCAGAGGTTTTTAGACAAATGCGAGAGAACCTCTTTATTATTTGTTTTCTTTTTTTTATCTCCACAATATATTGAGTATATAGCTTTATTATGTTAGAATGTTAAGAATAATGAAAAAATAGTTTAAGCTAACTTGTTTTCCAAATTTGCTGTTGCTGCTTTAGCAAAAGAAAAAAAAAATATTTCCACCTCTGATTTAATAGTATTTGTTAATATTTGTTGGGCAGCCATTAATTTGGCTTGGATCAAATTATTTGTGGATAGCAATATATGGAACTTAAAGACAAATTTTTTGTTAAAATAATGACAAAATACAGGTGAAGATTAATATTCATGGTTTTCTAACATCTTGCCTCTGATTGGCTGACAGCAACACGACCATTCCGCTGCCTTTGTTCGCTCTTGTTTCTTGGGTAAAAAATGGAACATTGATGTTTTATCTCTGCAAATAACACAAGCCTGAAAGTGTTCTGCCATGTGATGAAGTTGCTAATGCTAACAGTTAGCATCTACTGCTCTCTCCTGGATGCTAAATCAACAACAGCCTTCCGCGACTGCAATCTGATATTTTTCCCTGTGCCATGGAAAAGGCTTATCGTTTTCCAGTCCATTTTCTTTCTGCGGCTGATGCAGGCAATGGGAGCTGAAGGAAATTGTCATGTTTAGCATCCGTGTGCGATGTGACCGATCATATCTCCAAAAGAACGAAACAAGAATGAAATTTGTTTTCTTTGTAAGCTTCGTCATCAAAAATCTGTGTGGACTAAAGTTCGCTGTGGAAACACAGACCTAACTACTGTCTTCAGATACCATACTCACTTAACCAGCTCAGTGGTCTAGTGGTAGAGTGTCCGCCCTGGGACTGGGAGTTCAGGGTTCAAAACCAGACGGGTCATACCAAAGACTCAAACAATGCCTCCTTTCTTGACACTCAGCTTTAAGGGGTTGGATTGGGGAGGCTAAACCACCAAATGGTTACGGAGCACAGCCACTGCTGCAGCTCACCGCTCCCCCCCCCCCCCCCCCCCCATGGGGAGTCAAATGCGTAGATGGTTTCATCAGTGTGTGATGACTAATGGGACTTTAACTTTACACAGAGCTGTGAAAACCTTTGCTGTAATGCTGCAGTTGAATTTTTACTGATGATTTTCATTTTTTTCATTCTGGTGAGAATGAATTTCTTCCATACTGGTCAGTTCAGTTAGCTGCAGATCAATAAGTTCAGTGGATTTTCAGCTAATGTCTGGTGATGAACAAAATCAGTTAAAAGGATTCAAAACTGCGTCGGAACAGTTTTCAAATAACACATTTATTCACATTTTAACTTTAAACAGATTTCTAGAGATCATATGTCAAAAGGGTTAAAAGTGTATTCCAGCACATACCTTACAGAATAATATGTTATTTATATTTACGACAAATTCAAACAAAATCAGATCATTTGGGATTCCACTGACTACCTCAGGATCAAATGACTGGTCAAACTGTTCTGTCTCACAGAGTTTATTTGGTTTGTTGGACTCTGCTGTGCTGATGATGAATGACTGTGTGTCTGTGTGTGTTGGTGTCACATTTCAGATTTGAGTCTTCTGTTTATCTAAAACACAGCACACATGCATAGTGTGTCTTTGTGTAACTGTCCATGTATACTTTTACACACATATAAACAGAATGATTGAAGGACGCTATAGTTTGTGTGTGTGTGTGTGTGTGTGTGTGTGTGTGTGTGTGTGTAAAATTAGTCCATGCAGTTTCCAGAAACAAAATTTCTTTCACAGAAAGATCTTTTTTCATTTAAATGAGGCAACTGTTTCCTTGACTTCAAAGTTTCTCTGATGATTGATAACACACACACACACACACACGCGCACGCACACACACACACACACACACACACACACACACACACACACACACACACACACACACACACACACACACACACACACACACAAATTCTGCATTCACATCATTAAAACAGTTGAGCATTTTGAAATTGAAAATATGAGAATTGAATGAAAAATTACATTTATTTTATAATGTTTTTAGTATATTATTATTATTATTATTATTATTATTATCATGCTGTATTTCATTATTTCACTCAAACGAGTGAGTGTGTGTCTGTCAATTCACTGAATGTTTCTTTAAATTTGAAAACCTTTGACATATTTAATATATTTTAAGTCTATTTTCTTTTCCAGGAAATCATCACAGTGTGATGAAAAGGTTTCTTTACTGGCAGTCACCCATAAAGCTCATTAGTCTGCTTTCTGGTTTTTATGGAGGCTCGGTGGGAGCTGCTACTGTACGGATGACTTCAAAACTATAAATCATGTGCTGAATAAAAAAAAAAATCAAAGTTTCAGAGTTGTGTTTGCCATATTTGGAGTATGAGAGTCAAGAAAAGACGTGGACACCCCAGTTTTTATGTTTTCTTTAATTCTGTCTAAGTAATGTAGAATAATCTTGATTACTGTCGAACTCGAGAGATGAGGTGTTGATGTCATTTAATTATAAAGAAATACACAGAAAACAAGGAAGCTGTATGTTTTTTTTTTCTTAATTTTTTTCCAATGGTCAACATTTCACTTTTCTTCCTGATGTGCAGTTGTTGCTATTAAAAAAAGTTTTTCTTATTGTTATTTTAAAACATTTTTACCCTCCAAAAGAAAAAGGTGGCTGGGGTGTCCAAAGTCTTAGAAGGGGTTAGAAGCCCTTATGGGCCGCACAATGTCTTTTTTTAAATGCAACATTTCTTTTATGATGTTTTTATTATTGTACTGGTCTAAATCAATCAATCATCAATCAATCAATCAATCAATCAATCAATCAATCAGTCAGCCAATCAATCAATCAATCAATCAATCAGTCAGCCAATCAATCAATCAATCAATCAATCAATCAATCAAAGATACTTTATTAATCCCAGAGGGAAATTAGAGGTTCAGTACACACAATTCAGAGGTCAGACATACATGGGCAAGATACATGACAAGAATTGGTGACTGTGGTCTCGCAACCCTGAGTCGCACTACCTTAATAGAGACAAGAGGGTTGCATGAGGATTGGTTCAGGTGGAGCGAAAAAAAAGGCACTTCAGAGTTACCCTCCATAGGGAGGGCAGCTTCGCTATGCAAAAAAACACCTCAGACAGATATGCAACAGACTTCAGACAACACAACATAAGTGTCCACTAGGTGGGGTGGTGGGTTGGGACTATCCCCACTTCAGTTCCTGCAGCCACGATGAAGCAGCGTGTGTCACCTCAGTGTGGATAGGGGGAGGAGCATTGAGGGTTGGAGGATTGCAGTGACCCTGGAACGTTTCAGCGGCCTTCCCGCAGTCCCGCCCAGGCTGGGATAGGAGACAGAGTTGAGTTGCCATAGCGACGGCACTTTCCACATATCTTCTGAGGGGAAGTTTTCATTGTAGCCTTGCAGGCTCAAGGGCGCAGAATTCCGATTAGAAATTGTTTTGGGGCCAGACAGAGATAATTTCCTCTCTGTCTTACAGTTTGTTGGTCGTCAACTTCTCAAAATCCCAATAATGGACATTAATCTATCCCAATCCGTGCTGATTCGTGCACTCTCTCCTTGATGGCATCCATCTTTTGTGCCAATAATGAATCTTGGCCAAAGTTCCAAGCTTACGATTCATCTCGACAATTATGTGAGTCTGTGAATTCACAGCGCGGTGCAAACCATCTCTGAGCTCTGGGATCAGGCCAATATTCCTCGACAGCTCGTTAATTTCCCAGTAAGCCAGGTAGCCTCCAATTCCGATCAGCAGGAAACCCGACACCAACACCACGAATATCCACACATCTTCAGAGTCCTCCACTAAAAGGCATAAAACAGAAATTAGTGGTAAAAAAATTTTGAGCAAAATCTCACCAAGGGCTGCAAATATGGACATTTATGCTGCGGAATAATATGAGAAGGTAAAGGAGTGACACATTATTTTTTCTACCCAGTTTCATCTCATCTCTTCAAATAACAGCTTCACATATTTAAACACTAAAACTCCAACAGCTCAGCGGGCCGGCAGGTGTGTGTGAGTTGGAGAACATGCTGCACATAGTTGGAAAGCCTAGATTATTCTGACTCTGGATCAGAAACACTTATGTTTGCATGCTGCCAGATATTCACTGAATAACACTGATGGACCGTTTTCTTAAAAATGTTCAGGTCAGTTTAAATGTGTGAAATTTGACAGAAGACATTTTTATTGAGGACGTTTATTTATTTTTTTTCCAGATATTAAAATTGTACAGAAACCTCAAACGGCAAAAGGGTAAACGTTTTTCTCTCGTCTGTTTTTTGGGTGTCTTCTTATAGAACAGATGACAAAATTAAAAAAATGAAGTGATAATATATGACATGACGACAAAGTCCTTTTTCACTTGTCCTTCATGGTCTAATAAAAAAAATACATGTTTTTATTTTGCTGTTGGATGAGAAGGGGAATTAAAAACTGAAATATTCTCTTGCCTTTCAGAGCATCCATAAAAATGCCTGATTAGAATAAACAAAGAACTGTTTATGTTGTTAACTTCAATAAATCCGCTAAGAAAACCAAATCTCCGAGCTGAAAGTAAACAGCTGGTGAAGTAAAGCAGTGATTGTGAAGATGAGATGAATTTGAAATGAGCTGATTTGATAATCTGGTAAATATGAACTACATGAACATGTTCTCTCAGCAACACAGTTGACTGAAAAAAAGGCGGCAGCATTCTGAAATTCAAAAGCAGCCTTCACACTGGATGTTTGTGTCAGTTGTAGTTTGTTTCTTTTTACTTCTCAGGTATGAGACTCTAGCCGTGTCTGCAGATGCAGAAAGTCGGCAGGATTCAGACTTGCCCCCAAAAACCGGAGGCAAGAGGCTGTCGGTGAGTCTTAAACATGCAAAAACGCTACTGGGCAGAAGTCTTTGGTACTGATCTTGGCCGGTTACATTTAAACACTAGAGTAATCCAAATTTCCAACATGGATACTATTTATACGGTACAACGTATACATTATCTGAATTTCTCAAAGCAGCACGTGAACTTTAAGTGCTGGCTGATACGCGCAGACTTCGTTTGTATATTTGTAAAAATCAACTTAAATGCATTTTCTAAATACTGCTCAGACATCACACTTTTATCGTTTACATCGTGTTTGTTATTTTAAAACTTAAGAGGTTACAGCAGCCGGCTTTAACTTTGCCTTTTTCCTCCAGCCTGACTGGACGTTTGTACTGGGAGAACAGGCCCTGGATGTGTCAGTTCCCTCCTTCTCCCATTCGTCTTCCTCCATCCTTGTGCTGGGTGAGAGAAACCTCTTCTGCTTCCGTGACAACGGACAGATCTGCTTCATGAAGAAACTGGAGTTCAACCCCAGCTGTTTTCAACCCTACGCTTCAGGTAAACAACCAGAATTAAAGGCCATTTATGGAGCTAAATCAGGGAAAAGGTTCTGGTTTTCCTTGCCCACAAAATGTTTTCACTGGTAGGCTAGAGATCTAGACACGCTCCACTGTAGCATCAGCAGGTCTCCCACTGAGCGCCTTGTGATTTTTAATAAGAGGCGCTATATAAAAAAATAATTTCTTCTTCGATGGCTTGGCTAAGGTCAGTCACAGCGCTCTTGGGTGGTCTTAGCGCCATTAAGGCAGAGCATTTGCTTAGGATGATGGCAGAGCTGTGATGGAGCAAAACAACAAAGATGGTGATTGCTCAGGAACGATAGCCTGGTAAACCATCCTATATATGAGGATATATAGGATGGCCACGACCCATAGACAGATCTCAGTTGTGGATTGTAATCGACAATTGTTTTTCAAACTGTCTCCTCGTGCTATTGGGCAATAAACAACGTGATGTACACACCACTACAGAAGTCATTCAACGGGGCAGTCCGCCGTACACGGTTGAAGAAGACACAAATACATCCTTTTTTCTAAATAAAAGACTTAAGTACCTCTATCTGCTCTTGACTCAAAGAAAAACCCAAGTCTAAATAGTACAAAGTTGATGCTAATGCAGTTTCAAACAATCTTTGTTGTTTTACTCAGCCGCAGTAACATGCTGTCCACCAAACCGATGGAGCGCTGTGACTGGCAAGACAGAAGACTGTTCGGGCCTGCTGAGGCTCCAGTGGAGCGTGGTTAGACTGACCTGCAGAGCAAAGTCGTTTTGCTTTGGTCTGCCTAGATTTGTAGGCTACAGGAACGCCGCGTGTATGAAATGGTTACGGCATAAATTATGGACAATTTAGACTTAGGCTTTTCTTTGAGACAGGAGCAGATAGAGGTACTTCTTTGATGGCGTGTGTCAGATTGCCTTGTTGACTAATTTCCGTAGCGATGAATACGTCACGTTGTCCGATGCTCAGATTGGTCCTAGCGCTGTCCAACTGCGTCCAGTTTGAAAGACAAACGTAGATTCCGCCCCGATTGAGCTCTGTCTATGACTGCAAAGAAAGAAAATTAGAAGCTTGAATATCTTTTTTTGCTTTTTTTGTACTAACTGATTGCAACTGCCTAGTGTTCACGTGCAGCTCTTATTTTGCTAGTCTGCTTAGGGGTCTTTTCATGTTGTGGAGAGACACAGACAGTACTGATCTGCAGCAGGTTTCCTAATGCGTTCCTTCTGGCCTTCAGCCTCACAGCTGCCTCAGCTGGACCAGAGCCCTCACCCTCATCAACTACTCCCATCTGTCTGTCTGTCTACTTTCTTTGTCATGTAATTGTTTTGGCTTCAGTTCCCATATGAATGATTTCAAGTCAAAGTTCCATCCCTCCTTAATAACGATTATGATTCGCACTTACGACACAAACTTACGGTAGGTTCATTCTGGTTCTTAACCGATTCTCTTTCATAAACATAAAACGGTGCGAGTCACATGTAATCGCCTTCACAGTCGTCAAGTCTAAACCAAACTGAACACATTGGGGAAATTTTTTAAGTGATTTGTTTGACACACGTTTACCTCTATCCGGATTTGTGTTGGAAGAACGGGTGGAGTTCCAGAAAGTTGTTTTGATTTTTCACCTAACAGTTTATGTATGAATCCCGTTCTCTCACAAAGTCGGAACAAGCAAGAGTAAAATCACTGAAGAGTCGCTAATTATGTCAGAGGAGGTCATGAGATCATATTCGTGTCATTCAAGAAAGAAAAAAGAAAAGTATTTATTGTTGGACAGACAGGAAATGTAAAGGGATTTCTTTCCCTGGCAGCAACGGAACGTTCCGGTTTTGTGGCTTGTGCATGCGAACAACTTTTCCGCCTTACACCTCTTTTTTCGTTAATGCTACTTGAGGGATAAAAGCCAGACAGAGAGGGAGGGATGAAACAGGCAGATGGTCAAACAATGACCAAATCATGAAAAGAGGGTAAGAGAAACCAGGTGAGAAGAAAGGATAATATTCAGAATCAGGAGGAATAGATTTGGGGGTGGGAGGAAGGCCAGAAGGACAAGAACATGACAGAAAACTTAAGACTAGGGTAAAAACACTACGACAAAAGTACAGATAGGTACTTCTTTTTATAATTAGATTATAATTATAAGGCCGATGCTGAGATATGGCACTAACATGCACTCTGTCATTTTTTCCCTTTCTTACCACTGCTACTATATTATAATGTGTGTGTTCAACTGTGTGTCAGTGAGGTGTGTTTTTGTTTTGCGTGTGGCCGTCATCTCAGATCTCAGTAGGTGGTACCCGCACCATCGGTGGGTTGGTCAGCTGGACATCCCTCTGTGTGTAAAAGAAAACAAAAACAAAAGCACTCTATGTTTTCTGTTTCTAGCCTTGGGTTAAGAGAGAAAGTAGAAGCCTAGCTATGGCTGTGTTTACACAACACACCCGTAGGAGCGATCCTTGTCTCAGAATGGAAGATCTACATGAGAGTTCTTGACACAGAGCAGATGTGAAACCTGAAGAGATGGTTTTTCTGTACTGGAGAGTAGAAGCTGCACTCATCGACGGGGCAGTGCCACCCACCACAGGAATCCCTTCTTTTCTGTGGATGCTTTTAGATCTGTGAAAATGCACCCTTGTCTGTTTCCTAGAGCTAAGAATGAAAGACATAAAACCTCAAATTATTGCTGCTGTGAAACTGAGGCTGACGTTCCTGCCACGAGACAGACGCGCTGAATAAAAAACAGCACAGGGACAATTTTAGAAATATTATTCAATTGGTTTTTAACTGAGGCAAAATTGTTCAAAATGTCTCTTTAATCGTTTTATTTAGAGCCTAAACTTTATTCAAGGGCCAATTTCAAACTCACTCACTCACTCACTCACTCACTCACTCACTCACTCACTCTCTCACTCACTTTCTCTTTCACTCACTCACTCACTCACTCACTCGCTCTTTCACTCACTCACTCGCTTCCTTGTTTTCTCTCTTTCACTCACTCACTTTCTCTTTCACTCACTCACTCACTCACTCACTCACTCACTCGCTTTCACTCACTCACTTGCTTTCACTCACTCACTTTCTCTTTCACTCACTCACTCACTCACTTGCTTTCTCTTTCACTCACTCACTTACTCACTCACTCAATTTCTCTTTCACTCACTCACTCACTCACTCACTCACTCACTCACTCACTCACTTTCTCTTTCACTCACTCACTCACTCACTCACTCACTCACTCACTCACTCACTCACTCACTCACTCACTCACTCACTTTCTCTTTCACTCACTCACTCACTCACTCACACTCACTCACTCACTCACTTGTTTTCTCTTTCACTCACTCACTCACTCGCTTACTCTTTCACTCACTCACTCACTCACACTCACTCACTCACTCACTCACTCACTCACTCACTCACTTTCTCTTTCACTCACTCACTCACTCACACTCACTCACTCACTCACTTGTTTTCTCTTTCACTCACTCACTCACTCGCTTACTCTTTCACTCACTCACTCACTCACACTCACTCACTCACTCACTTGTTTTCTCTTTCACTCACTCACTCACTCACTCGCTTACTCTTTCACTCACTCTTTCACTCACTCACTCACTCACTCACTCACTCACTCACTCACTCACTCACTGACTTTCTCTTTCACTCACTCACTCACTCACTCACTCACTCACTTGTTTTCTCTTTCACTCACTCACTCACTCACTCACTCACTCACTCACTCACTCACTCACTCACTTGTTTTCTCTTTCACTCACTCACTCGCTTACTCTTTCACTCACTCACTCACTCACTCACTCACTCACTCACTCACTCACTCACTCACTCACTCACTCACTCACTTTCTCTTTTACTCACTCACTCACTCACTCACTCACTCACTCACTCACTCACTCACTCACTCACTCACTCACTCGTTTTCTCTTTCACTCACTCACTCACTCACTCACTCACTCACTCACTCACTCACTCACTCACTCGCTTCCTTGTTTTCTCTCTTTTACTCACTTGCTCCCTCACTGGGCAAGAGATGGGGGACACCATTTGAGACAAACAACCACTCCCACCTAGGGATTATTTAAACTAACCTAACTGTGAGGAAGCTGGTACACTTAAAGAAAACCCACATCCATGGGAGAACATGCTAACTCGTGCTAACACACATGAAGGCCACATACCTGCAACTTTTTTGCACCATGCAGCCCCATGCTGCAAACATTTTAAACAAACTAAGTCACATTCAAGACAAGCTACATTGTGAATGATGCAGTTGCGTTTTATCACCGTTTTCCCCTTCTAACCTTCGTTTTTCTGACATCATATAGGGACAGATGGCACCACAAGTCTGCTGCTAGGCAACCACACCAACATGCTGCTGGTTTACCAGGATGTGACTCTGAAGTGGGCCGCCCAGCTCCCGTTTGTGCCTGTAGCTGTTCGTGTTGCCAACTTCACGTGAGTACGACCTCCAGCAGAACAAGACGTTTGGATTTAGATTTAGCAGCGATACCACTTTTTTCCAAACCAATACTTGGATCTGAGTACTCGCCAATACTGATTACTGATACCGATACTTCTAACACACACAAAAAATGCAATGAATTGCAATGCAGGTTTTATTTTCTTCTCATCTTTCAAAAGGAAGAGACTGCGGGAGATAAAAATAAAAATTGTTTTATAGAAATGATCACAAAACTAAAATATTAGGTGAACAGAAATGACAAGTTACAGTGAAGCCACTTTCAGGTAACTGTATTGGTATTGGTTAACTTTTACTGATACCAATACTGGTGTCGGTATCGGCCCGATACCAGTATCGGTATCAGTGCATCCTTATTTAGATGTCAAAGATGACATCTTCAATCCAAAGGGGTTATAATGAAGGTAACTGTACTAATTTTGGTTTTGTCAAAGCTCCTCCGATGAGAAGCAAAACATCTTCAAGAAACCAAAAAGTCCAGCTGCCTTCATTCGAACCCTTTTGGATTACTACGACCTGGATGATTGAGAACCTTCACCAGCGTGACGTCTGCAAACACACAGGTCAATGTGAGGCTTCTTTTTTTTACCACCCATTAGACATTACTGTCACATACATTATGTACATTTACCACATGCGGTAGGTATGCTGACTCAATTATCAGCTTGTGAAATCCGTCGTTGGATATTTGGCAGGAAATGACCCGACAATGCCTTCCAGCTGGCCAATCAGCAGCAAGCGAGGAGGGGCCTCCTAAAGCCAGTCCTTCGTCTTTCTCCAAGCAACTACAATCAAACTGCAATTTGATACAATTACAACAGAAAACACAAACACAGTTGAAAAATGATGTGGTCTGTGATCCCGTGTGCGCGCATGTGTGGTTTAGATACAGGAGATAGTGTGTGTCTGGGCACATGTTTGGTTTAGATTGAGGCTGTGTTGTTTTTAAGCATTTAATAGTCATCAGGTTGTTCAGTGTGTTTGTAGGACACTGCAGAGTGTGGGAGAGTAACTCACGTACACTAAAAACATGCAAAACACACACACACACTGGCTTACCGTGGATATCTGCAAACGTTATAACTGTGGTTCAGATGTTCCTGCTTTGTTTTTGTGGAGGATCGAATTTTATCGCTTAATTCTGCTCTGCGTGGATCACATGATCCGGCTCACCTCAGCTTTCTTGGCTCATCTAAACATTCTGAAACAGTCCTGCCAACAAAATGGCAAAACAAAATATTCTTCTTCATTTATCCACTTTATTCAAACCCTTTTTATCCTGTTTATGGTTACTGAAGGCTGAAGCCTTTAGGTGGGGTGTCAGTGCATTTCATTTAAAAGGCACATGTTCAGACATCAGCTGATGGCAGACATCCGACACACAGACGGTTCCATATTAGAATGTTTATTTTGTGAAGTGCATTATATTATAATATATAATATTTAATTGTTAACCACAAGCAGCAGGATAATTCACCCTCAGTTTCTCCTCCGAATCAGTAATAACGTTACGTAAAATCAGTGCCTAACGCTATGGGAGCGTATTTCTGTTCACTTGGGAAAAAATGATCTTTTTCCCTGAATTAATGAGATAAATAAAATAGAAAATAAATAAATACTTTTATCGATAGGATTACTATTAGTTTGATGATCTGTGGCCATGTTCCTTCAGGATCAGATGGCAGTTTATTTGTTATTTTAAATGATTGTTAATTCAGAAAAAAACACAACAAATTCATTTATTTGTAATATTTATGTTTTCATTTCAGAAAAACAAAGCTTTTTAATTTTTTTCAAGTGAATGCAGTACGTGTCTGTGCGACACAAATTGGTATGGTTGGTTTTCAAATTTGTGAATCATGATTATTGTTAATAATAATAATGATAATAATGATGAAGAAGATGACTTTTCCATTATAAAACAGCTGTATAATGAGTTTTTTTTTACAGTCAAGTATGTCCTAGCAACAGATCATTTATATCCTCACCTGTAACCAAGCACTGCCTGTTTGTCTTGCTGCCTGTTTGCTTGGCTCTCTCTCAAACGGGACACTAATGTTTAGTGAGAATTGGATAAGTGTGTTATGTCTGTCTCTTTGTTTTAGTGAGTGTGTGAATCAAATTTTTATGTGTTTCTGTAAGAGTTTGTCATGTTTCTGTTAATGTGACTTTATCAGCCTGTGTGTAGACAGATTGTGTTACCACGGCCGTTAAAGAGAGAGTTTTATACCACGTGTGTGTGTGTGTGTGTGTGTGTGCGTGCGTGCGTGCGTGTGTGTGTGTGTGTGTGTGTGTGTGTGTGCGTGCGTGCGCGCGCGCGTGTGTGTGTGTGTGTGTGTGTGTGTGTGCGTGTGTGCGTTACAGCTTCACATGACTGGAATAGAAACCACTCACATCTGTAACCAGTTTCCAGATGGTTGAAGCATTATTGCATCACTCATCATGTCTTCATGCTCACCCTCTTATCTTCTATTTCCGTATTAAACCTAAACATCACATTCTGCTACCCTTGTGAACCTCAGAGGCCCTTAAAAATGCCGGTTCTTAACAAATAGCAAATGTTGTGGAGTTAACCCTCTGGTCTCCTCATCTCAGGGAGTTGAGGGGGGCTGTGGTCAGCCTGACCTCAGACGGTCATCTGCTGTGCTCCTACATGGGGACAGACCCCTCGTTCTTCTCAACACCTAAAGTCAATGCCAGAGAGGTTGACTATGAGCAGGTGGACGCTGAGATGAAGAAGCTGCACAGGTTCATCAGAGAGGCCACCAGGACTCAAGGTAGGAGATTAGTGGACGACTGTAAGGAACACCTAAAACTCAGTCTGTGTAAGAAAATATCTAATAATTCCTGTTGGTGAATTGGTCTTGATCTGAAAGAAAGTTGCCCCTTTTTACTGATTTAATGGTTCCTCTCTTTAATCGAATAACTTGCATTTGTGAACTTACAGAGGAAATCATAAATATAATTTTTGGTTTCAGACATCCTTCCCAAAACCGATGCTGTGGAGGACCTCTCTGTCTCATCCAACGTGTCCTCCAGCCTGGACAAGCCATCAGTAAGCAAACAGGAACTCAACACACTCATATGGTCTTTATTTATGTTTTAACACACACACTCACTTGTATTTGTATCACTGTGTGGACCCTTTCGTTGACTTCCATTCCTTTTAGTGATTCCACTATTCCTAACCCTAACCAATGCTGTTCTATTCCTAACCCTAATCTAAACCAAAAGGTCGTTCACACCATACCTTTAACCCTCCCGCTGTCCTAATGGGTGTGACCCTGTGAGGAAAGTTGACCATTGAGCAGGATTGATGGTTTATCCCTTGAGTTCATGTGGAAGGGGTGAGGAGTGAGCACCACCTCACCCCTTCCACGTGGACTTCGAGGGATAAACCATCAATCCTGCTCAATGGTCAACTTTCCTCATGGGGTCACACCCATTAGGACAGTGGGAGGGTTAGAAACACGTTTAAGGGTATTTTATCATTGTGTGGACCAGCCAAATGTTCCCACAAGGTGGAAATGTCCGTACACTACAGGTTAAAATTTAAAATGTGTCCACTTAAGCACACACACACACACACACACACACACACACACACACACACACACACACACACACACACACACACACACACACACACACACACACACACACACACACACACACACACACACACACACAAAACCTTAAGTCTGGTTATCTGTCTCTACAGCAAGCTCTGATCCAAGATATGGATGGTCTACCTGTCCCTTCAGTGACCGTGCAGGTGAGTCATCAGCTCCTTTTTTTACTCTCGCTACCTCCTAAAAATGTAAATATTCCAGACACTTTTTGGAAAATTCTTCCTTTTCCCTACAACGCCATTTGAGCACATCTCACTTAGTGTTGTTTTTATTTTCCTAAGGTGAAAATAAAGGCCCTTTCTGCGCTGCAGTCCTTTAAGCTGTCCATTTGTGTCCAGCCTCCGTTAGCTGTTACTGAAGACCAGTTTGCTCTGGAGCCCATGGGTCAGTCAACATCAATTTGTTTATTATTTTTTTAACATTTTTGGTGTTTTTGTAAATCGTTGCCTAGAGGAATTAGTTTCCTGAAGTTTATTGAGCTGACCTTTAGATGTTTTTTGTGAAGATTACAAATGTAACACATAAATGACAAATTTGAGCTATTTTCTTTTCTTAACCGTACACTTGTTTGTTTTACTCTGATAATCTCTACATCTAAGGTCCCACTCACTTGTTTAAAAAAATAGCTTTGGTCTCTAGTTTGGAAAAATGCATCGTGGGTTGTTTTCTGAGGAAAAAGTAGAAGATAGTCGGAGGAGTGGTGGCGTGGAAAATGATAGGATTTGGAATTTTACTCATTATTATTCATGGAATTCAGATGTCTTGCGTCTGATTAGCTAACACCAATGTGACTCTTCTGCTGCCTTCGTTCACTTTTCTTTCTTGTGTAAAAAACACAAGCTTGAACGTGTTCCGCCATGTTGTGTTGTTGCTAATTGTTAGCTTCTGGTAGCCGAGAAACACTTTGCTTTCTGCTGGCTGCAAACTTAAAGATACATTGGCAAATCTTAACAATGTTCTAACATAGTTTAGCAATAAAAATAATGTGAAATAAAAAAAATATATGTGGTTCTCTAGCATTTGTCTAAAACCCTCATCCAATAACACGGCACAGTCTTGAGACCAATGATTGAACCATATGGTTGTCTGTCTCACTAAACCACAGCACTATATTATAATGTGTGTGTTCAACTGTTTATCCCTTGGGGACAGATAGACCATCCACCCCTCTTCCCCTCACAGAGGGCTGTGGGGGGAAGAGGGGTGGTGTGGTGGCATCAGCTGGCGTAGGCCAGACGATGTCTGCACTGCCTGCTCACCACAGCCACGAACACACCTCATCACACACCAACTCTGTATTGGAGCAGGCGGAGAGTGACTAGGGGTCTTAGCACACCTCTGTTGTCACTTGGGGGATTTGGCCGTCTGGGTGGTGGGTCACTTTGCTCGGCATTGGGCGCAGGAGCCTGCTCATCAGCACCCCAGCAGAAAGGGTCAAACTCTGGGAACCGGTGATGGTTGTACCCTTTGTGCAGCAGTACCGGGACAAGAGTGAATAGGGTGTGTATGGGGAGTATGAGTGGGTGTCTGGCGTGCATTTTTGTGAGTCTTAGGTTCTATGTGTATGTGTGAGCATGAGGGAGGGAGTGTGTGACTGTGTTTGTGTGTGACTGTATATGTCAGGCGGGGCCTTTGACTCCTCCCTTCTCCTGGGACTTCTTTTGCTGATATACATCTTCGCCTCCCCCGTCACACTTGGTGTGGAGTGTGATGCCTTGGTCTGCCTGAGTGTTCGCGGCTCCCGGGTCAGGGGGTTTACGATTTTTAGCGTCTGCCTGATTAATCCCGGTGGCTGCCTGGTGGGATCTGGGTCCCTGGGCTCTGTTGGGTCCCCGGCGGGGGTGGTCGCCGGGTTCCGGGCTCGGCCGTTTGGGGGTGGGAGGCTGCGGGTGGGCCTGTGGGCTTGCCACTGATATCCCCCGGGACTCTGCCGGCTGCTGGTTGTAGCCCCCCGGGGCGATCCTCTGCGCCTCTCGAGGGGGGCGGGGGCTTTTCTGGTCGCAGTCTCCCTGGGGTCCCTGTGCTCTGGGGCAGCTCCTGGATCTCTGAGACTTGGAGCTCCCTCCATCTCCCACGCATCTTTGGGGGCAGATCTGTGGCCCCTCACACTCTCTATTGGACACCCCTATAGAGAAACCTTACACAAACAAGCGCGTGTACACTCACAGGTGCTCACATGGTGCTCTCGTAAGTATGGACTTGAGCACGTTCAACACATGTCGGCTGTGGTTGGCACTTAATGCACTGTGATTTATTATCGTGATTGTTCAGTAAAACAATATTTTTATATTTCCTCATCAGGTTGACGCAGTGATAGCTTGCTCCTGTTGTATTGCTGTGTGTCCCTTTTCTTTTTCTTTTTTTTCTCCTTCTGCAGGTCTAGAAGAAGACTCTTGTTCATCATTGTTTGTTTGTTGTTGTGGACCCCCCCCCCCCCCCCCTTGTCTTTTCCTTTCTCTTTCACCTCTGTCTCCGTGTCCGGTCGGAATTACAAGCCCTCAAAAAACAATAAACAATAAAGTTTTAAGTATCAGGCGTGACATTAACAGCAGAAGCTTTGATGCTCCACCTGAGAGTAAAATCTCTAAGGCTTGTCACCAGCATTCAGACATTAATTCTGTTTGCTTCACAACCAGACAGGACACGGTTAAAAAAAAAAAAAGGAGAAACAGCTGGCTGCTACCACTTCAACTTTAGGACAAACTACCAGAGTCTCAAAAAGAAAAACACCATTTGAAGTCACAGACAACAAAAGACGTTTGGACCTAGAAAACAGGCACTGGTGTTTTGTGCTCTCTCGTTTGTGGCAACGTGGGTTCCGGTATCAGGTGCTTGCGGCCTAGGGAGCCCATGGGAGGAGTGAGTGTTGCGCGACCATGTTTGTGTTTAAAGCTAGCTTGCCATTGCAGCTTTATTACAGCGTTTGGCAGTCCCAATCCAAGGTGGGCAGGGCCATGAATGCAAATTTTCTCTGTGATGTAGAAGAGACCTGAACCAGACAGTTCTAATCCCAAACTATTCATTCAGTCCATTATAACAGCATCAAGCTTCCTGTAACACATTGCCTCCCGTGTGCTGCGAGCTGTTACTCCAGTCCCTTCCCTGTTGTTTTCTTCACTTTTTGCCTGTGTGTAATTGTGGAAGCTTGTATTTACAGTGTGTGTAATGTAAACCAGTTGGTGGAGACTTTAATCAGAGGCTGCTCCTAGCGGCATGAAAACATACATTTTAAAACCGTGCGTGGCCCCACAGGGAGTTAAAACTCCAACTCTGGGGGTGTTGGTGCACTCCTCTTCCTGATCTTTGTATGGAGCATCAGATTAGGTTTTACACAATTTGAACTTCTTCTTTCCACATGCTATAACTTTCCACCTCATGAAAGTCTTTGGAAGACTTCAAAAGTTTCTGTTACTGAAAGGTTGTGTGCCTTACTCCAAGCTAGCTTCCTAAACGAAACACATCCAGGCCTTCCTTACACTTGCACGTTTATCTCATTTTAGGAAATAAAACTTCTTCATCTCATTGACATCAGATTGTGACAACGAGATCATAAATGCCATTAAAAATCATAAAGTCGATAAACTACAGGTTCTACTGACACGGTACTGATGGTGCTGGCAGTTACTTGTTTTGAAATCATGAACTCAAGCATAGAAACTGAATCACTAACATAAAATTCCTCATCTTGCAATAATCCCAAAGAACTGCTCCTGACATTCGCTGAAACCATCATCCATCACAAAGGAGCAGACACCCTGCTCTTTGAGAAGCACCAGAATGGATTGTGAATTTATGATTTCAAGATGTGAGTAGCTTTCTCACGGGGTGTGAGCACCAGCCATTTGTTTTAGGTCCTGACTCAAACTGACCACTGCTTTCTTATGATTCATGATCCATAGATACAGAAATGTAATGTGTTTTTCCACAGTGCATTCTTATCTATACATACTCCCCGTGACCTGTTAATGCAAACAGGATGGGCTAAACGAGATCATTTCCTGTATAATCTTGTCAACTTATATTTACATTGACCATTTTTAACACGATTTAAGCATTTTTCATCACCTTTTATAGGGACAGATACAAGAACATGGACAAGCTGCAACACGGCAGCCCCGTGTTTGTAGCAAAATACTTTTAGCAGTAGCTAATTTGCAGCATTTGTCCCTAGGCTTTTAAATTATAGTTAAAAGAAACAGAAGATAAAATTAAAACAGTTCAGAAAGAATTCACAATATGCTGTTAAAAGGTTATGACAACCAGTTTGAGACACACACAGACAAAGTGATCACAGCAAAGGGAAAGAACATCTTCAGGACGCTGTTATAAAGGCTTTCCAGTGGTTTACGTGTGGTCTGGTTAGTCTGTGACCCTACTCTAGCTCCATAGGATCATGAAGTTTAAAAATATTTGCGCACAGTTAAACATTGGGTAATGTCTTGTAGTCTTAAAATAGTTATTGTTTAATGTGGCAGCAAGTCATCGAGGAGCAATCACTTTTCTGCACCAATATTTCCAAACCAGTAATCAGATTGAAGCCACTGACTGTATGTTCCTATTTTAGTTTTTTGTTCAGGAGAAAGATGTATTTGTCTTTTTCCTTGCGTGCTGATGAACAGTAGCCTGGCAAGCAATCCTGTATGAATATATAGTCTGGCCATGACCCATTGAAACCTCCCAGTGGTGGGGTGGAATCAAGATACTGACTCCTCAAGCAATTGGACATCGCTAGGACTAATCAAAGCAACAAACAACATGATGTTCTCACCACTATTTATGTCAGTTGTCCATCATACGCCGTCGAAGAAGGCGCAGATACTTCCTTTTTGAATTAAAGAACTTCAGTACCTCTATCTGCTCATGTCTCAAAGAAAAGCTCAAGTCTAAATGGTCCAAAGCTGATGCCAAAGCTGTTTTAAAGGAGTGTCGTTCCTGAGCTGATGCCATCTTTCTAGTTTTTCTTCATTGCAGCCCTAGTGTTAAGCAGTGTTGGGAGTAATGCGGTACAAAAGTAATTAATTACTGTAATGCATTGCTTTTTGATGTAATGTGGTAATGTAAGGCATTACAGGGAAAGAAAATGGTAATATTTACTCGGTACAATTGTCAGTAACGCGGTAATTACAATGCAGTTTTAAACCCAGAATCAAGATGTGTTCCTTAAAAATTCAAATTGCGGGAAACCCGAAGTAAGATCCAGTATCTGCATATATTACGTCATTTATGGACTCAGCTTTGCGGGCAGAGGGGACGCAGCGGTAACGGCTCAAATACTCCAGCGGCGTCCTCCACGCGGCCGCTGTTACATTCACAAAATCGCTCCACTAAAACAAAATAATTCACTTGCGATCGTTCATATCAGCGCATATTCTCTGGTATTTTGT